TAGATTTCAAAGCATAAAATCATTGTACACGAAGCAATAAGGGCTTGTACCTCTTAAAATTCAGCATTTGACCAAATTTGCATAATAAGTAATAAAGATATAATATTACTGAATTTACGACTATTTAATTTTTTTTGTTTGTAGGTTCTATTCCCTATTAGTTTCCATTAGTTTTTGACAATGCTACATTTAGATACCTGGAAAGTACACATTTATGATACAACACGATCTATAAATTTCTTCTCAAAGTACTTGACTGGTGGAGAATTCACAAGTTTTGGGATAGTATTATCTCAGAGCTAGTTGTCATTGAGTACTGGAATGATTTCCCTAATGTACACAAAGACAACGCAATTGTGGAGTTTATTGATATTGTAGAAGTGCCACAACAGAAATATATTCTTGATAGAGGGGATTGTGGAGTATTTGTATTGATGTTTATGGAAATGATTGTTTCGGGGGTACCGGTGAAGATTGATAAGCCATGTAGAGATGTGGGATTTCTCTATATAAATAGGATAACAAAAATTATTTGGGATACTATATAACTTGATTTTAGGAACTTTGTATATATTAATATGAAATACTTGCTTTTAGTAATTTTGTTTAATATAAATATGTGTTTTATTTATTTTTGTTATTATATATGTTTCATGGAGTGTCGAGTCACTTCTGCGAACTGTCATTTCACTATAAAAAGACTCAAAAATGTGTATCATTTCATCTAATCTATGTCACGTCATCTACTTTGTAACTTTTACAATGGGTTCAAAACCATGGACCGTTGAGGAGTATTTGCTTCTAACTTGTTCATATATTAATGTCTACGAGAACAACAGTTTGGATGATAGAATGTTTTGGCTCCTTTTAACCAACACCTTCAACACGTAGAAGACCATCACATCATGCTTGATATAACAGCAAAATGATATGAAATGAAAACAGAAGTTGTGTTATTCAACGATCTTTATAAGAAGATTGAAGACGCACGTATGAATGATATTGAGGAAGACATCTTGAAGGCGGCTAAAGAATAATACAAATTCATTAGCAATGGAGAGAGTTTCGACTATGAAGCCCCTTCGAAAATCTCCCGTATTTTTAATTAGTACTGTGTTTTGTATTGTGCTTGTATTGCTTTATTTATTTTTAATATTGTTGAGTTTTTTTTTTGCGGTTTTTGTGTTATTTATCCTTTATTTTTTGAAACATAATTCACCAACAAATATTACGACACATTCAAACAAAATAAAAATTACAAATAACATAAAAACATTACACAAAAAAAACATTACTAATAAGATGTACGACTAACAATAAAAACGCAAAGTTGTGAAAATGAGTTCAGTCAATGAGGTATTCAAAAAAAATTTCTCCAACCTACCGATTTGTTTTTTCATAATCTGCAAAGAACCAATCCTAACACGTTCACGTGCATTAAGAAATATCAGTGTAATCTTTTCCAACTTTATTTTGTGGCATTGGGATGCATGGTATGTAATCCTTTATAGTAAATTTTTTGTTATTTGAAGTTGTTATATGGCTAATATTCTTATCTTTACTTGCAAATTCGTATGTTTCTCACGTCTATGACACCAATCATATTCGTTGGTCACGTACCTCTAATTGGTACATACGTAACATCCATGTCCATTATGGTTGCTTTAGATGGAAACCATGAACCCCTTCTTATAGCGTTTGCTTTGGGAACGATAAACTGTGACGAGTCATAGTTATGGTTCATGAGGAGGCTTAAAGAATGTTTAGGTGACAATACGAAAGTTGGTTTCATAAGCCATTTGTCTGATTCCATAGACTTTGCAGTTCAGAGAGTTTACCCTGATTCATATCATGGCTATTGTTGTAAAAATATAGCTGAGAAAATACACGCTTCCACAGGAAACAATACAGTTGTAGAGCAATTGTTCCGGAAAACTTGTAAAGCGTATAATATGTCTGATTTTTATGCATGTTTGAACAACTTACAAAATGAGGTGAATGGGAATGATAATGAATAGCTTCACAATATTCCCATTGCAAAATGGGTACAAGCTTTTTTCCCTAAAGTACGTTTCAATGTTAAATTCATTGATATTCCCGATGTTGTGAATTGGGTAAGAACAAACAGACATGAGTTACCAATAACAACAATCATTCAAATGGTCCATGACTCGATGCAAGGAGTGTATGTTCAAACGTGCTGCATTCGGAGGTAATTATACATTACGACATCATTCAAATGGTCAAATGATATGTTATTATACATTATGACATCATAACTTTTGTTTTATGATTCAGTCATTTCACAGGGGATTTTCATGGTCTTCTAACCCCTTATGCACTTAATGTGCTTCAAAAAATATTTGTCCACTCCGATGGTTGTAGGGTTAGGCATATTGTTGGTGACAGATATGAAGTGAGTAAGTATTTAACCACTATATCCGTGCAATTAAACCGTGATATTAGTAGTTTCGGGAAATGGAAAAATTACGGTATACCTTGTGAGCATGCTATAGCATCACTACAAAGGCTTGAATTGTAAAAATACAACAAATGGTAAATTTAAAGTTAACTGCCCTAGTGTATCGAAATTGTTTTCAAACTGAGATGGTCAATCCTATTCCAACCCTTATGCATTGGGAAATACCAGTTGAAAGTGTTGTCGTCTTACCTCCATGACAATTCAATTGAACTGTAATGTATGGATCACAACGAATATTAGTTTGTATTTAGTTCTATGTTAATCTTGCTTTTGGTCCATTGGCGTTGTTTAGTTTTTAATAAATAGTATTTACCTTTTAATAAATAATTGTAATGTATGGATGACAACGACTTGACAAACAGTATGCGAACTGACTAACAGCTCTACGGACTGACAAAACAGCTCTACAGACTGAAAAGACAGCTTTGCGGACTGACAAACACCTCTCTGCGGAGTTGAAGGGTCTATATATTGTCATGGATGATCGTTGATTTTTTGGTAAAAAGTTACAAATTATTTTGAAATTTAATATGAGTTCATCTTCAAATTTCTATATTTTCTCGTGCAACAAACTTGATTGTTACTATTATGATCTGATCAACCCTTTTCTTGCCCCATCACCAAACATGAGAGAGTCGTATATGTCTGATGATACTTTGCAACAATTACAATGGGCTGAAGAACAAAAAAAAGATAAAGAGTCATCTCGGGCTCTCACTGAATGTCGTGACCTCATTGTGCCCGAGTGCAAAGAAGTTGAGCAAAGGATACAAATTAATAAAAAAAAAAATCAAAGATCACGAAGAATGGATAAAAAAGACTAAGAAGACTATCAAAACGACTGAAAAATGGTCAGCTGAGAAGGATGCAGAAATGATAGATCTTGGGCGGCAAAAGGACCGTTTTGAAGATAAAATAAGAATTAGGGACGACTATATAACAATGGAGAGAGAAAAGTATCCATTGCAGTTCCCTTAAGTTAATTACTGTTGTTGTACGTTTATTATGTGTTTTTGGTTTGTTGTATGTATTATCTTCGAGTTTTAGTTATTACTCTGCTAGTAATGATGCACTAATATAATCATATTATTACCCGTTTCAAAGTACATAATCAACGTCTTCCAAAACATAACATAATTAATTATAAATACAACATCAATCATTCAAATCAAACGTTGAAAAATAGTCTTCTCTTTGTGTCCCTTGCGTCCTGCACGTCTCTTGCGTCTCGTGCGTCTCTAGCGTCTCGTGAGTCCCTTGTGTCCCTTGCGTCCCTTTCCCTTTTGTCTTACTACCTGACGTCGAGCTACTTTTTTTAGGATTCTTTTGCTTCATTGGGATCAATGTCAGACAAGTTACTGCATTATGGGTTGTATTATCATATCTACTACACCTTCTTACTATAGGTTCCTCACCTCGTGACGGGATACGATTTCTGTTTTTCGGTCTACCAGCTTGACGTGCATCCATTATCGGGGGTTTAACAACCATCATCTCAGCAGGAATCTCCCAATCATACGGTTCTGGAAGGGGGTAAACCGCCTCCTCATACGAACTTCGGTACGTTTCCATTTTGTAAGCATCTATAGTCAGATGTCCAAAGTTAGTTTTTTTCAAGTGCTTTAAAACCATTATGACATGACCACGAGGCAAACCAGTTACTTCCCAATATTTGCATGTACAAGTCTCTTGCCTCAGATCAACTATGCCACGCATCTGAAACACCTGAAATGGACCATCATGTTGTACGTTCTTCATTTTTCCTAACTACTTTTCTAGCCCACTCCGTTAGCACTATTAAACGCTTCCCTGTAAAGAATATATATATATATATATATATATATATATATATATATATATATATATATATATACTAGGTTAAAACCCGTGGAACCCACGGGTGCTGTTTTTGAATTGAATTTAAAAATTAATTATTTAATAAAATATTATTTCAATAATTCTTATAACTTATAAATTGTAATATTGAATATTTAAATAGTTTTTTATTTGTAATTATTTAATTACTAACTAAATGAGAAGTATTTAATTAGGAATGAAGATTTTTGAAAACTATTTTTTTTTATTCATCATTCTTATTGGACATGTGCAGATGATACAATTTTGATGGTTAAAATCCGTATAATACCGTAAAAGTACATTTCTAATATTCATAACTGAACATATAATTTATAATATTCGTAATTGAAAATACATATAATATCGATGGCTAAGTAGTTGAGTGTAACAATTAAACAAATCATACATGTTAAAATGTTTGTGTAAAATGACCAAAATACCCTTCAGGTGTAGTATGAGATATAATCCAAGTACCTTATGCTGGCACCTCATACTGCTAACTAACTTCCACTATGATCAAATTTTGTATAGACTAAACCATGGTATGGAGAAAATGTTGATTTAATAACTTTAACATCTAAGTCGTTAAGTTAAGTCATTTTGATCATACTAAATTACTTCGACATCACACATTCATCTTAACTATGACAATTCATGCTTTCTATAACACGGCCACCATCAGCTCAAGTACAGACTTTACTTTATCATCATTTACTTGCAAAGATGCGACTACAAAACTTAGGTAGCAATACAACAAAAAATTAAACAAATCTACAGAATGTTGGACCATAACATATGGCAAAACTTACACAAATCTACTTTCATATGCACCATCTTTTTGATAGACTTCCTTTTGCCAATCTCCACCATTTGCAATAGCCATCTGAGCTGTTGAATAATATAAAGACAATAACCAAACAAATAATCAGAAAACAAAAAAACATCATAAAATATTCCAACACAAACAATCAACAAGCTTCCTAATGAGATAACTGAAAATCATTGAAGATGTCCTTCAAGATGATGAAAAAATCTTAGATTTATCCTAGATTAAGGGTTAATTTGCTGCAAAAGTAGGCTACTGATGTATAAGAGAACCTACCTTGTTCAATATGCTTTCGAAGAGATAGAACTTCATTCTCTTCTAACCAACGCCAGGATTTAGATCACATTTAATGGAGAAAAAAAGAGAACTGTTTGTTAAATTGATAACAGTTCTTTTCAACATTTATTCTGCAATTAGCTAATATAATTTATGGAATAAGATTGATGTCAAAATTTCCATCCCTGTTTGTTCAAATATGTTAATGCAAATCGATTTATGCGTAAAGGCCTCAAAATGTAACTTAATCTTAGTTATATGAATTCACAACATCATGCAAATTATTACCCTGTTTGTATATGGCTGATGACCTCTTATACTCTGTATATATACTTTCTAACATAGTTTAGGGTCTGAATACATACACCCTCCATCCTTCCACTTTAAAGTTTGAGCCTTTTTCTATTAATTCAAAAAGAAACACCCAAAAGTTACTATTCACCCATTCTAAATTGTTAGTAATCAATGACACATGAGTGTGAGTCTTAGCAAAATGGAGTTAGAGAAACGGGTTTCTAAATAATGTCACCATTTTTATCATCCCTAGTTAGCATCCTTATGTTACAGAGGCTATACTATGACAGCACCAAGGCCATGGGCCTCCTCATCTCGTGTGTTGAGGTAAAAAAACCAACTAAAAAAAGCTCAAAGTCAACTCAAAATAAACCTAATTTGACCTAATTTAAGATGAGAGACTGACTGACATTATAGAAAACAATTTTATACAAAATGAACAAAACAGTTCATGTTTGAAAGTTTTTGGTGTAAGCTGAAATTGAAACCAAGCAGAATAGGTATGCCTTCATATCTGAAAAAACTGAAAGATGGGGTGTTTAGCAATCAAATGAGTCATTTTGCAAGGCAGGATATAAGTCCATTATCCATGGAATTCTAAACCAAAAAAAAAAACGTCCTTTGGGTTTTAACAAAGAATTTATACCTAAAATAAAGAAATTTCCTCACAGTATTTTGCTGCTTGATCTTCTGGAAGATCAACAAGATTCTGTTCCAATGCACAACTGAAAGGAATAATTGTCTCACCCTATACACTTGAACCGTAGTACAAAAAGAACTAAAAGTTAAATCACCAACAAACATGTTACCTATTGGCCAAAGAACAGAATCACATAAAATTTGAATTAGTAAACCAAAGAGAATCCAATGCATCTTTAAGCAAAGAATTCTATCAAAAAAACAAATTAACATACACAAGGGCTCAAAATTGTTTTTTTTTTTTTTCAAAAAGAATATGAAAGGATGATATAGATTACCTTGTTCATCGGTGTGTTGAGAAGGGGAGGTATCAGGTGTTAGATAAATGAGTTCATCAGCAATTAGTGGAGGGTAAAGGAGAATACAACCGATTTTGTTATGCTTCCATACAAAAATTCTCATTTATTTTAAGAATATCATGAAGATGTCTCTTGGAAAGAAATTAGGTTAAATCAAAGTTTGTCCTTAACTTTTGCCCAAGAACTCAAACAACGAAGGAGCAAACTTTAATGTAAAAAGATCTTGTAAATCAGAAACACAGAACAGAAAAAATAAAATTGAATACCATGAATTAAGAACCTTAATAAGAAGAAATCGTGAACCATAAATTCTCAAAGTGAATCCACCATCGTTAACATCCGTACATGTTAAACCAATTGATGAGACCAGAGTCATAAGACGATAATATAACCGAACCATCGCCTGCCTCCTGCAATAAGGGAACGTGGAGAAGAAATCGGAATTTGAAAAAGATGGAGATAGAGCTGCAATAAGGTAGCGATAATGAAGGAAAAATTGTAACCTTGCGATCTGTTTGTTTCAACGACGATTTTATGTTATCTCCTATCGGGACCAAACTTCTTCAAATTACTTAGATACCTGCACCAATAAATCAATTCAAATCAGGAGCAACAGAAGACAGAAGAAAATTTTTCAGGTGTTCGTGAGAGAGAAAGGAAGAAGATATGTATGTGATTTCTTGTGATTCCGTCCCTGATTTTTCACGGTCATGTATACTCGGATCAAGTTTCATCGCATAGATAATTTGAACGTAAATAATGGAGTGAATAGGTTAAACCGATGAGCGAATATGATTGTTTGATTTGATTTTGGAAATGCAAACACAAAATTAGCTATCTTTACGCATATTATAGTTAGTCGATCAATTTGTTGCAAATTTAACGGGATTGATTAATGCAGATTAAAAGGGCCGGCCAATTTGAAGCTATAAAAGGATAGTTTAGTAATTACACTCTAAGGAAAATGAGCGGGAAAACTCTATTTTGGGGCCTTGGAAAATGCCACGTGGCCGAGTTCTACTTATTTATTAGAATTAGGATTAGGATATATATATATATATATATATATATATATATATATATATATATATATATATATATATATATATATATGAGAGGTTATATTGAGAACATGAAAAGGTTGAAATCGCGATAACATTGTAGATCACTCATTACATTATAAGAAAATTACATTTTCATTTAATATAAATAAAATTGTTTGTTTGTAACTTCCATTTTCATTAATTAATTTCATTAATTTTGATGTAACATATCAAAAAAATTCTTTTATTATTTAATTAAAAACGATGTCTTATTAATAAATTAAGTTTAACTCTCATTTACACACAAAAAAATCGCCATTATTAAGAATATATTATGCTAAATATATTTATGTATTTTTTTTTGGATAGAATAAAAATTAATAAAAAATATATAAATACATTTTTTATGCGGTAAGTAATAAAACATGACATGCATTCATAATTTTCCTTTTTATTTGTTAATAGTTATGTTAATTTTTTTTTTTTGGAACAGCAAATACAAATATATACTAAACTACTCCTAAATTATTCCACCTATGTCCACAATGAGACTTGAACCCTCAACTTCAAAGAAGAGGGCAACATCGGATACCGTTTGACTAGTTATGTTAATCATGAATGATTATATAAATAAATAAACATTAAGCATTTTGATAGATTACAATCTTCATGCATTTACCTAAAACAAATATATAATCATACAATTCTATTCATAAATGAATAAAATAACATTCACTTCTATTCATAATTTCATACTCTTGTTATGTTATTAAATGAATAAAACAAAATTCAGTTTTACTCATTAGTACATAATTGGTTTTGGTTTTGCTCTAATAGGTTTTTTTCTTGTGTTGAATATCTCCACAATATCTTGACTTGGAATGAGTTGCTTTAACATGAACTTGTGTTTTTTGTTGGCTTCTAAAATTCACGTGCTTGTCAAACAAACAATATTGACACCTACAAAATTGCAACAACCCTTTTATTTGATCAGTCTATAGTCTATATAAAAAGTTGCAATAAAATGTACATACAATAAAATATATATACTACATTCATGGATGAATAGAACTTAAAACATATCAATAAATGAAATCTTGTATATAAGTAAATTCGTTAGTTATATGAATGCGCAATACATGTTATATTTATTAATGATTAAAGGTACCACTCAACTTAAGTGAATGCGCAATACATGTTATATTTATTAATGATTAAAGGTACCACTCAACTTAAATGAATCATGTTTGTATTTTCTATTCATTTACGATTGTAGTTATATTTATTAATGATTAAAGGTATCATTTAACGACATTTAAAAGACTAATCATCAAGATCACGAGAAAACCGACGTAACAGTGAATTTGGTATTTTGCTCCTGACAAGTTTTTCCCATTTTATTTTCATATGTTAACAATTATACTATATAATAATAATAATAATAATAATAATAATAATAATAATAATAATAATTTTAATGAGTCACTAATGTTCGAAATTACTTCAAATCTTGCAAAGTATCAAGCCCAATAACATAATTGCATTTGATATTTTCAAGTTCCTCTTAATAAGTGTGTTCTAATTATTCATTATATGTGAAGTGAATTTTTTTATTGCACAATTACATTGAATCCATGTTAAATGTGACATCTCTAAAGAGATGAAACTGACTATATAGAATAGAGACTTCGAATAGAAAATTGCATCCCACATTAGTCGGACTACCAAATCATCTAGGGGAACAATCGAGAGCCTAATGCCTAAAGTATCTTATTAAACATATCTTACCTTCGATTGTGAAACTGCTTAGCTGTTTTATTGAAGGGTTCATCGGATAATCGAGTTTCTTCACCGACTGGGAAGCCTTAGCCTCCGTTCTATATAATAAGAAAATGATGAACCTTGTTTTTTACGGATCCAAAATCCGACCACCGTGATGCCTTCGTCACTGTAACTTGCACCGATGTCGGCTCTATGGCCTCCATCAACTTTTGATGTCGCAGAAGTAGTAGACAAGCATATTTTTTTTTCTAGTTTTCTTTTATCTCCGACTCACAATACCTGTTGCACAATCTCTACCTTCTCTGGTTTGTTTCGATTAAACGAAAATGGTAGTTGTTGGTTGATATTAGGACTTGATGGAAACCGATACATAGAGAGGGGGAAGGAAGCGTGGATAGATGAACATAAAGGGTTGAAGACGGTGTATTACCGATGGTTTGTAGATGGAGACAATCTTGTTCTAAAGCTTGAACAGGGGAGTAGAAGTTGGAGTAGATAAGCGCAGGTGGTGATGATGGTGATATTATGTGCCAAGGAACAAAGGTCGTCTCCCAAACACGCAGAAGTCATAACAAACTAAAGATATTAAGCCTAATTTAAGGAAATTAGATTTATGTTATTTTCTTATTCACACTTACCCTAATTAAGCCATTTGAATTTACCTCAATACCCTTTACGGTATTTTCTTATTTACATTTTAAGATATTTAGTTTTCATATTAACAGAAATGGCCCCTTACATATTAGCCCTATATCTAAGAAATTGGATGGTCATGATATTTTCTCGCGTTCTCAACCTTTGTCATGTTCTCAATTTAACTTACCCTCTCTCTCTCTCTCTCTCTCTCTCTCTCTCTCTCTTTCTCTCTCTCTCTCTCTCTCTCTCTCTCTCTCTATATATATATATATATATATATATATATATATATATCCTCCTTAATAAATGAAGGTTTTTTTGCCACATGTCAATTTCTCATTAATTTTGACACTTGTCATTTTGTGGTATTTTTGAAATAAATATTATCCACTTGTCAATTTTTGGTTTGTTCTAATTTTTAAAATTAAAATCATATACTTATATATGTAAATTATTAAATATGATATATATGATATATTAAATTGCAATAAATATATATCTTCCTTAATTTAAAGTTATACATTAAAAAATATTTTTCGTTTACACTTTAATGTTTAATTTTTTTTTAAATCAACCCGTGTAATACACGGGTTTCACACCTAGTATCCCTAATAAAACAATCTCTAAACTGACGCATGGCACATTTCTAAACTATGTTTTTGCCACATGGCATTTTTATACTCACCGTTCTTTTTTTTTCCCGCCTATTCCTGCTCTTCAATATTCAATTTCACTAGGTGTAAAACCCGTGTATTACACGGGTTGATTAAAAAATTAAATATTAAAATGTAAACATTAAATATTTATTTAAACAAAATTTTGAAATAAGGAAAGAATAAATGTATTAATTAGAATTACTATCATATTTATTACATTTAATACTTTGCATATATAAGTATTATGTAAATTTTTTATTTTAAAAATTAAAAAAACCTAGAAATTGACATGTGGATAATATTTATTTCAAAAATACCACAAAATGACAAGTGTCAAAACTCATGAGAGATTGACACGTGTCAAAAAAACCTTCATTTATTAAGAAGGATTCCGAAAAATAAGGAAACACAAATATGTCGGGATCATTTTTTAAATCAGCAATGGAGCATTAATGGTAATCCTATTAAATCCCAAATAATCAGGGAGACAATTATTTTAAATCCTACAAAACAGCAACGTCGTAGTTTGATTGCCTCCATCGCCACCATCACTCTTTTTTAGGGTTCGCTACCCCTCTATTTCTATAAGGAAAGAGTTTATTCCAGTCATCGCTCAATCACTTCCGTCATACAACCTTCACTACCACAATCCACCCACCAGCCCCTTTTTTCTCAAAACCTAGCACCGCTAACCATTATTTGCCGCCTTCACCACCATGTGCAGTCGTCAACATGACTGCCATGGACAATAGTTTTCTCTAAAAACCATATACCACTACCACTCACTGATTTTGTCGTTACCATTTGGTCTTCCATCTCCATATCTTGCAAATCAGGAGCAGGGGCATAAACAATCGAGATGAAACATGGAATTGGCCTCAAGTCTATTTTTCAAAAACCTACAGGGTAATAAGAGGTTCTCGTAAATCTTTTTTTTTTAAACCCTTGAATATTTTTATTTTGGGTTCTTTGGATTATTTTTTGTTCTGCCTTTCGTTTACCATTGATGTGTCCTGTTTTTAGTTCCAATCAATACTTTCTATATGGAACGTTGTTGTTGAATCTGTATTCTTATATTGGACGAAACAATAAAAATCATTCACCCTTTAAGCCAAATGTATTGCAATCTGTTTTACAAATTGTTGGATTTTCTATAATTAATGAGATGTTATTTACCCTTCGTTTCAGATGTTGTTATACACATTGATTATTGTCATCTTCTCTTTTCTTAGTTCATACCTACTACTCTATAATGGAAGCAACTGGAAGGAAGAATGATTTGCTTTTTTTTGCATCTTACAAACGAATCTCTTAAGACCCTAATTTGAAATCTTGATCTCCCATAAAAAAGACAAATAAATATTGATTTCTCTTTTGGCAATATCCTCTAGATTATCGACCCATGTTCTACTTCCACAAATCCACTTATTTTCAAGCTTCTTGAACAGATTAATGGTAGTTACTTAAAATTTTATCCATCCACTTAAACCGGTTTTGTATTCTTCTATGGATGCTCTTTTAATATCTACAATTTTCGTAATCATCCAGTCAGTTCACTTCTGATGTATATTACTCTTTTGAGTTTTATTTTGGATTATTTTTATAATATTATTGCATTCTTGACTTTTTTTTGCTTTATTGGTGAACATATGTTTGCAAGTTCTACTTTACAAGACTCATGGTGATGCAAGAACCAGTGATCAGGGCATCCAAAAGGTAATCTATTACTTTTGACCTTTTTTCATGCTACTTGTATTACCATATGTTCTCTATGTAACTATGTGTGATGTTGCTAACTAACTCTTCTTCTTCTTTGTCATCTTGCTCGATGTTATTTTAATACAATTAGCTACATTGGACTTGTCTAATGAGAACTGTAATGTTTTTTTTTTCAAGTTGTAACTTACAAACCTATCTTCAATCATCAGTACATATTTTATACTACAATTGTAATATTAGGCCTGACAATTAATTAAATTGAAATCAAAGGAGAAACTATGTAACACCGAAAATTTCAAAACAATTTTCCATTTAAAAATAATCGTTTAATTCTTAAAAACACGTTGTTTAAAATCTCATTCATAATCGAATTACAAAACATAACTCCATTTTCACTTGCATAATAAACCAGGATCCCCAAAACATAACTTTTTCTCTGGTGTGTACAATCCAGCCGGTGCCGTCCCATGATTCTGAGAGAAACCTGAAACACATAACACAAAACACTGTAAGCACGAAGCTTAGTGAGTTCCCCAATATACCACACATTACACATATTAGCCACTCGAGGCTATAACTCTGTGGGTCCGTGGACCCTACTCTGTGAACCTTCCGGTTCTAACTCTGTAAACATGCACAACATAAATCACATAGAAATAATGCAGTACAACACATAACATACACAACATATAAATACTCTGTCACATAACTCTGGTTACCTACTCAAGGTAAAGTATAGTGAGAAGACTCACCTCGCGTATCTCGATAGCTCGCAAATCCCTAAAATCACTAGTGTTCGATCTCCGAGCTAAAGTTCTCCTATAACACAATACATCTCTAATTAACACTTTCCCAACTAAGGTTGACTAACCCTATCAAGTCAACGCTGGTCAACTCTGGTCAACGGTCAACTCAACTCGCCGAGTCTGGCGTGGACTCGCCGAGTCTCTACAGGGACCCGATTCCTCTGAGTCCCTTCCGACTCACCGAGTCACTCACCCGACTCGGTTACTCAAACCCTGGTTCGAAATCACCGATCAACCCGCACCAACTCGTCGAGTCTGGAAATGGACTCGGCGAGTGCATTCCATGCACAACCCCAAACGACCTTCTGAGGTCAGATCTGCTTCACTAACTCATAGATCCAGTCCTTCCAAGCTTATTCATCACGTAAAGTTCATGTCTTGGCGCTCATAACACACCCAATGACTAATAAATGGTGTTTTGACCTCAAGCACAAAGACCCCAATCCAAAACCTCCATGGATTCATAAAAAGCTTGGACAAAGGGACACTCTGGACCTCCAAGGGTCTAGATTCAGAACCTAACTCGCTTAAGGGACTAAGGAAACACTAGATCTAGCCACAAAAGGGCTCAATAAGCCCTAAATCAACATGAACATCAACATATCAGAGAATGGTTCGAAAATAGTACCTCAAACGTGATGTTCTGGCCCTCAAATCCTCAGGAAGTTGATCCCCTTGTTTCCCCCTTGGCTATTGCTTCCTTTCCCTTGCTAGATATCACCTCCAAGGTCAATAATGGCTCCTTAGCTTACTCCAAACGCTCAAGCTCACTAGGATTTCACTCTGGGGACTGGTGAGCATAAATGACGGCCATAAGGCCCTTTAAATAGGCCCCAAACCTGAGAAATTAGGGTTTCATTAAATAGCGCGGACTCGCCGAGTCCATACCTTGGACTCGCCGAGTCCAGGCGTGAACCCGCGTCCAAATCCGCGATCATACTCGGCGAGTCTAGGCTCCAACTCGCCGAGTCTCATCACAAATCATCAAAAATAAATAAATGAATAATACTTGGGAATCCGGGCTGTTACAATTCTCCCCCACTAGAACTAGACTTCGCCCCCGAAGTCTCGCTCCACAAATAACTCTGGATGCTGCTCACGCATCTCACGCTCCGGTTCCCAAGTCATCTCGGACCCCTTCCGATGCCGTCACTGAACCAAAACCAAGGGTATCTCCTTGTTCCTCAGAACCTTGATTTTCCAATCTCTGATTGCCATTGGTCTCTCAGCATAACTCAGGCTCGCATCCACCTGAATATCCTCTAATGGAACCACTGCCGACTCATCGGCTAAACATTTCCTCAGTTGCGACACATGGAAAGTGTCGTGAATCTGCCCCAACTCTGCTGGCAAATCCAAACGATAGGCTACCCAGCCTACCCTTGCGATCACTCGGAATGGACCAATATATCGGGGCCCCAACTTGCCCCTCCTCCTGAATCGAATCACTCCTTTCCAAGGAGAGACCTTCAGGAGTACAAAGTCACTGACCAAAAATTCGAGCTCGGACCGGCGCCTGTCCGCATAACTCTTCTGGCGACTCTGAGCGGTCAACAACCTCTGCCTGACTTGTTGTATCTGCTCTGACGCCTGAAGCACAATCTCTGTACTTCCCATCACACGTTGCTCTAGCTCTCCCCAGCAAATGGGGTCCAATACCCCCTTCCCTACAATAGCTCAAAGGGTGGCATATTGATGCACTAATGATGGCTGTTGTTGTAGAAAAACTCTGCCAAGGGCAAATACGGCCACAATTTCCCCCCGA